GACAAAGTGAGACTATGTCTCTGAAAAAAACAAAAAACAATACAAAACAAAAAAAAGAACATACCATCATGGAAAGGAGGCTTTGCTTTCTGGTGTCCTCCGGCCCCACTTTTAAAGGGTCTTCTTCCCCCTCTACTGCTTTATCAATGCTCATCCTGCAAGGCTGAAGCTCAACTGCTTCTTTTCCCTCATCCTCCAGCAGGTGAAGTGCTAGCATCTCTGGAGTTAGCTGGTTTCGTGTCTGTCTCCCTGGATAACCTGGGAGTTCCTTGAGGGTAGGCATCCTAAAGTGTCTTCTTTCACCCACTCCAGAGCCACTGAATCAGAATCTCTAGGGGTGGGCCTCAAGAATAAACTGTGTTATAAACCCCACAGGTGATTGTGATTCATGCCCCTACCTAGGAATTTTCTTCACAAAAGCACAAGGTACAGTAAGCATCCATAAATATTTGTTGCACTGAATTGGTGAAGCATCTCACTTGTTTTGAAGTAAATCATATTGTTGCACCTCGTTGCTTTTGAGTCACCCTGTAAAGCTAAGGACCCCTTCCTTGTAGTATCTTCTTCATTCATTTACTTATTTGTTTACCCAATAAGTTTTATCATATACCATAACAAAAGCCTGGGGTCAAGAAAAAATAAGAAAACACAGTTACCAGCCTATAGGACTTAGAGTCTACTGATATATTAGTTATATTATAGTTATTATTATAATTTCTTTTGTATTACATCAGAATTTTTTTCCTTCCACATACTATTTGATATTCAAGGGCAGGGAAAATATTTTATTCTCTAATATCTCCAGTGTGTTGCTGGCACATAGAAGGCATTCTGTAGATGTTTATCGAATGAAGGTAACACATTTCATAGCACCTAACAAAAATGTTGGTATTTGTGTGATTATGTGATTAATGCCTCTCTGTCCCACGAATGGTAAGCCCCCTAACAACAGGAACTAAACCTCTTTTGCTCGTCATTCCTGGCACAGGACTTGGATAGCGTAGATGCTCAATGAATATTGCTAAATAGATGAAGACGACACCGCAAAGCACAGAAATGCCATCTCCCAACCAAACATTCATTCCGCTCTCCCTTCCCATTCTCCCTCAAAAAAGTAAAAATAAAAAAATATATATATAATGAACATGAGCCCAAACTGAGACCATGCTTCTTTTACTTACTTACAGGTTGACCTGGGACTCTAGTTCCGGGTCTTTCATTGGCCACGTCTGAAGGGGCTGGATACCGAAGGAGAGTGACGACTTTGCTTTCCATAGAAGGGTTTGGGCCATCTGACTCCCACAGGACCCCTTCGTTAGCGGATCCATCAGTGGGCCTGGAGGCTGAGCTGCTGTCCTGAGGCAGAGGAGTTGGGACAGGCACTGAG